TTTTATCAAAAATTACTCTTTATTTTTACCTTAAGAGGCCTATAATATTATTTTTGTTAAATTAATTTATTTTAAGTTATTTTTTATCCTATAATGTAAGTAGAAGATATTTTTTTAAAAAGAATTATTAACTCTAAATTATTTTATTACCTTTTTAACTTTTATTTATATTTTTAATATAACTTTTTATTATAAGATCTTATATAATAAAATTCTTCCATTTGTCTTTTACTTTAAAGCAATACCATAACATAACATTGTTTCTTTAATTGTAATAAGTTTTGTATAATTTTAAATAGATATTTGACTATCACAAAGTAAGATGTAAGAATTTGATAATAAAGTCCATTAAAAAAAATGATTGAAGGTTTTCAAAAATACATAGAAGTTGCAAAGTCTATAGAAATAATATTATAAAGTCTTGATTCAAAAATAAGTATCACAATATTAAACAAATTTGTTTATTTTATTTTACTTTTAATGCCACAAAATATTTCTATAAATAGGCTTTTAAATTAAATTATATTTAAAATATTACGTTGCTAGAAAGTCATGTTATTCTTGCAATGCACATAATAGTACTTAATCTTTTGGATTATATAGTCTTCTTTCAAAATAAAGAATTTTCTTTAAAATCAAATTTTCTAGAATTAGTTTTAGGATTTAGGATTTAGGATTTTATAATAATGTCTTAAAGGTGTAGCTACTTTGATTTAATGAGAAAATTTTATTGTGAATCATATGCAATATCTTCTTTTTTAATGTAAGATAAGAATAACTTGACAAGGAATTTAAAAAGATTTATTCTTTTTAAAGACAATACAAATAATTTAAATACAAATCATAACAAAGACATACTCTAACAACCTTGATATTAGTTCAAAATACATGTTGATATAAAACACTTATAATTTATATGATTAATTAAATAAAATATCTATTTTTAGATTATAATTCTATTATTAAAAAAATTCATGAAAACTATAATTTTTAATTATATTTTTTATAATTAAACTTGATTGTTGAGAAGTTTTTAGAATGAAAAGAATAGAAAGAAATAAATCCATATTCAATTATTATAGATTTCCATTTATTGCAAAGTTTGATGTATTTATTTTAATAAAAAATGACTTGGAAAAATCCAAGCAATATAAATTAAAAGTTAAAGTGAAATTTGTTTTTAAACCTTCTAATGTTCATTTTTTTTATCTTAAGTCTATAAGAAAAATTCTTAAAAAAAAAAAACAAAACAAAACAAAACAAAACATAAAACATACAAATAGAATGGAATTTATCTATATTCAATTGTTATAGAACTAAATTTAATACAAATTTAGATGCATTTATTCTAATTTAAAGACTTGGAAAAATTTAGCCAACCTAAAATATAAGTTAAAGTGAAATTTATCTTTAAATCTTTTCATGCCCATTTTATTTATATTAAGTCTATAGAAAAAAATCTTTAGAATTTATTTACATAAATAAAATAACAACTCATAAATTCTTAAAAATTCTTGATAATTATTTAATAATAGTTTAAAAATACTAAAAAAATATGGTTCATGTATAGTTATTACAGTTGTCTAATCCGTAATAGTTTGTACTTTTTTAAATTTAAAAATATATATCTATTTATATGATCCAAAACTTCTACATATATTGTCTTATTATGTAGTTGATTTTATCATAGCATATAATCCTACAACATTGAAATTTAGTAATATAAGTCAAACATATTTTTTATTTCTGATTTTTTAAACAAATATTGATATTTCTTTTATTAAATTAAGATTCTAATATAATCTCTATCTAAATAAAGACTTGGTGTTGCTTAAATAATTATAAAATAATATATTTTTTCTTTTGCAATTTGCATAACCATCTTAGGTCCAACAAATAAAGGTTAAGATAGTTTCCTAGTATTTAGGCTAAATTTTGTAAGGACCTTTTCTAATCTCCAAAAAAATATCATAATTATATAATTTAAACTTTTTAAATCCATTAATAGTAGATATGAAGGATATTAAATGATGTTAAAGATAATGTTAGATTCTTGATTTCTAAATGCCACTTTATAAGGCTAAGTTTCTTTTATAAAACTTCTAATTGGCTATAATTGTGTATTAATAATTTTATTTTTTTAAAAAAATCTGTAATTTAATTTGTGCTCTGTATCTTAAATCTATTAGATTTGATGTTGCAATCTTTTTATTTAATGACCTAAATTTTTATAATATAAATATATATTTTTATAAAAATAATTATCTTTTATATCTTTTATTAATTTTTTGAATTGAGTTGAATTGATCTATAAATATTTTGGACTTAATGAATAGATATATAAAGATTTACAAGTTATTAACATAACTTAGATTGTTATTCTTTAAATAGATCATTGTACTTGGCATCTTTTGAAGAATTGACTATTTTTTTATATTGCTTAAGTGATGAAATATTCTAATGAAACTAATATGGAAATTTTTAATAACAAATTATTAAACTTATCTTTTGATTTAATTTTAAAATATATATATATATTTTTAAAAAAACTTGATTGTTTTAATTCATGTCACAAGCAAGCTATTAGAGTTTTACAATACATATAGCAATTGAATGTGCTTTCTAATATAAAGACTAGAGTTTTGTTTTTACTAATCTTTTATAGTTTCTCTTTATTAATGTAGTTGTAAATACCTTCAAAAAATAGTTTAAATCATACAAAAGACTTAAATATTTTATTTTATTTATTTAAGATGCAAAGCAAGAAAGAATATTTTTAAATAGAATTGAGTCTACAATCCTAGTTAAGTAAAATCATCAAGCCATCAAGAAGGATTTATTTGAAAAAATATTACTTAAAAGATAAGTTTCAATAGCCACATGGTGCAATTATTGGAATCAAAATTTCAAATCTCTATCTCAAAAAATTCTTCAAAGTTTCTCAAAGAAGATATTATCTATCCAACATATTCTAATTACTTCTACTTACTTCTATTTACTTTATATTATAGGCATTAATTTTAATCTCTAACTTAAGAATACTCAATAAGACTTGATTATTAATACAAAAATATTTTGATATTAATTATTAGAACATCAAGATAAGATCTAATAAAAAAATAAAAAATAAAACATGTATAAAATCTCTTAAGATATTTAATTTATAATATTTAATTTATTTTTAAAAAATTATAAATATTATAAAATAAATATTATAAAATTTATTAAAATATATGATATTTTGGAATCCTATTTATTGTCACGAGTAAAAAAATAGATTGTGATGGTTGAATAGTATTAGCAATCAGATTAGATTAGATAAGACTCTTGTAGCAAGACAATAAATAAATAAATAAATATGATATAATAATTTATTTATCATGTTTGGTATCCTTTCTACAACAAACCTTATCCAACTTTTTTAAGGTTTTATAGATTTTTTTAATTCATTTGTTCTTGCTTAACCTTTTGAAGATAGTTTTTTATCATTGGTTTTGTAGGCTTGGATACACAAGTTCCAATATTGTTTTTTGAAAGAGATTGTACATCCACAACAACAAGCATCACTGAAGGCACTTTTTTATTATTACATGTGAAAGACAATCATAAATAATAAGCTGCTTTTTAAAATGCTACACTTGCCCTTTCCTATAACTTTATTGAAAACATAAGCAAAAATGATAAGAAGCAAATGTGACTAACTCTGACACTGTACTTCAGTCTCCTTTTTTGTACAGTTCCACTGAGTAGAGGAAAACATGGTGAAGTAGATAACTGAGTTACCTTTCTATCTAGTCTCACCTCAACAAAACACATGTATTTGCTTTATATAATCTCAAATGCTTTATGTAATTCCAAACTACCTTTGATGTAGGTAGTTTGTATAGTGTTATAAGTTGTTATCTCCACAATGCAAAAGTATTTTTGCATGGGCTTTGACATGTTTCAAACTTCAAGCATGTTGCATTGAATTAGATGTATTAGATGCAACCTTAAAGCCATTAACTACTCCCTATAATTCTACTCCACTTAAGAGAGCATCCAAAATAATACTCCAAGTGCAATAATTAATTCCATAAAACGAGGGAATTAATAGAACGAAAGAAGAATTATAAAAAGCCATAGTGGATGGAGTTTTGTACTTACATTAAAGGAAATGAAGGATTATTAGTGCTCTGATACTATGTAAGAGAAAGAACACTAACAATGATAAAATAAAACACAAAGTATATTAATACAATAACTTGATTACATCATATTCATAAGAGCCTTTTATATTATCTTATGGAGTGAAGTAGTAATAATAATAATAATAATAATAATAATAGCACTGACAAGTTGATTCTTTCATTTCTTTCTTTCTAGGTATTTCACAATTCTCATTTGTTATGTATTTAACTAATAATAGTAAATAAATAAATAAAAGGTAGGGAAGAAAAGAAGAAGTGGCCGGATGATGGAAATGGAATGAGAATCTGATTAACATTATCTCTGCTTATTCTGCCAATTGGGTGTTTCGTTTGCTTCGGTTCTCATTCATTCTGATCCTTGCAATCATTGCACATGCCACCAACATTGAAAGGTTCGCATGAAGGATCCTAGCTTGAATCCTAACCAGGCATAATCAACAAAACAAAAACGAAAAAAATACACCTAAGATGTATCCAAAAGATGGTGTGAATAAAAGCTTACTAAGTTCTTACTGAAAAGAACCCAGCTTGAAACTTACTTGGTCTAGAAAGGGTAAAGGAATTGATTTTGCTTTGTAATGAATTTAGGAACTATTTTTCTAAGTCATTGCACCGAGGCCAGCTTTCATCATCTTCTTTGACACTTCATAGTAATGAATTCATAGATTGTATGTTGCAGAAGACTGAGCACATCAACATCATGTAGGGATGGACAACGAGGACGAATTCATCCCGGAGCCGAGGAGGATGAGGGAGCTGCTGTATTGAAATGTGCTTTCGATCACAGAGAGCCGTCGATGCGCGGTCCCGATCCACATATCTCGGGGAGAGAAGTTGTCGAGGGGGGATTCTGATGCCGGATGGACTCTCTTGGTTTTTCCCGGGTTTTCGTTTTCGAGAGCTCCGCTTTCTTTGGGTGCTAGGGTTGGTGCTGTTCAGGTGCGGTGTGTTGTGGTGACGGCAGCGGCGTTGCTGCAATCTTAGTTTAGCTACGTTTCTCCTGTTGCCATTCCGGTGGTCAATGCTCCTAGTGTGGCGACGCTGGTTTTGCATTCTCTTCCTCGCAGTCGTGCAGTTGGAGCGAGATCTGGCTTTTTGCTCGCGTTACTTTTCCCGTGGAGGGGGGCTGCTCGTCATTTAGGGCGCTTCTGCAACGCCGTTCCTGGCTGTTCTACCTTTTTTGTTGTCTGTGGCGATCCTGCTTCGGAGTGTGCTGCGATCAAGGCTGGTGGCTGCGGAAGCTCCTGTTGTCAACGTGATCTGGTTTCCGTACTTCTTCCGTTGGTCTATGGTTAGAGGGCGAGCGATACGGGTGTTCATGCTAAGGTGGTTGTTTTCGAGGGCGCCTTGTTGCTCTATTGTTGTTATTGCGCCGCCGCCTACCACTGGAGTGTCGACGGGTTCCCTTTCGGGGTATTATTTTTTTCTCCCTTTTTCCAGCTTCTGCTTCGAATCGTGTTGCTGTTTGTTGTAGTCGTGCATCGAGCTGGTGCTCGGCCCATGTTCTTCTTCATAGTGTGTGAAGGGGCGTTGGATGGTGCTAGTTGCACTGTGGTGGAAGCATCAAGTGCTTGACGGTGTCTCATGATTCTGTTCCGTTTGGTGCTCTCTGGTGGCGAGTCTTTTTTCGGGTTGGTGGCCCCGTGGCATTGAGGATTGTCGACGCTTTCTTGTTGCTGGCCTCGTTCATTTCGCCTGGTGATTCTTCGGTTCTGTTCTCCACCATCTTGTTGTAGGCCAAGGCCGTTTGATGCCACTGTTGCGGTTGTGGCTGCAAATTCGACTGCTTCACCGACTGCACTCCTTGAAGTCATGGCTGCTGCTGCAAGTTCTTGAAGAGAGTAGTGGACGTTTAGGTCGTGGTTGGTAGCTGTCGGGGAAATTGCGGTATTTGCTATCCGCCGACCCGCGTTTTTGTCGCCGTGGATGCTGGAGGATTACGTGCTGCGGTGCAGTGCCGTCAAGTTTGGCTGGTGGTCGACTTAATCCGGCTCTTGTTGCTGTGCTCGTTCGTCTCCGACTGTTTTTGGGCTCCGGTGTTGTTCGACTATCGCTGAGTTTCCAATCATCGTCGTCGCCTTTAGTCGGCACTCTCGGTGGACTGGCGGGGTTGGCAGGTATTGTTGAATGGGAGAAATGATGATCTGCAACTAGTAGGCGGACGCTAGTTCGCTGGTGATGTGGGTCTTAATAGCAGATATCGATGCTTAAATTTGGAGATGTGACTGTGTCAGCGAAAAGTTGAGCAAGTTACTTTGTTAGTGCTGATGAGGTAAGGTGGTTGTTCATTAAAACAAAAAATTGTGGTGTATGGTTGGCAGCGGACGGTCCTTGTGAGGCAGGCAATGAAGTTGACAGCGTAGTGAAAAATTTATGTAAGCAGCTTGGTTGTCGATAGAACCGTCGGCTTCGCTGAAGAATTTCATGTGAGCAGTTAGCATCTGTGAAGGGTTGTAAAGATTGGTGGCAGCTTTGCCAACCCACTTTCGTTCCTGTGAAGGGTTCTGAAGACCGAAGGACTTTGAGCCGCCAGTGGGTCGGCGAGCAATTCCATTTCTTCCTGCTCAACTGCTATCGCAGCTACTCCAGGCTCGTTTTCGACATCTTCCACATCGCGGTGAGACTTCTAGATTGGATGAATTGTTGGATTGGATGACTAATTGAGTTGGATAAAGTTACGTGAGGAATTTGATCAACCTATGTGGATGAACAACTTGAATGATTACTCAGGTATGGGTGACTTCTTATTGTTAGATGACAATATATGGATGAAGTTTTGTATAAAGATGAATTCTTGTCAATGGATGAGAATATCTAAATTGAGTGATGATGGAGGTACAATTTTTTATTTTGCTTGCTTGTGTTACGTTGGGCTAAATTGAGGGAGTGAGAAGGTTAGGCAATAATTGCAATTCATTGGATATTAAAATTTGGTGAATTATTGCATGGTTGAATAAGCTACTATTAGGGTGATGCATGCATTTTCTCATAAGTCAAATACTAATATTTGATGGGTGCATCTTCAATAGGTGACAAGGCCATCTCCTAGTAATAAACTTGAGCATCCTAAAGCACTATTTTCCAATTCTTATCTAAATTATGGCTAGGTTGGATCCTACAACTCATACTTCAGAATCAATGTTGCCAAATTTTAATGGTGTGGGTAATGCTCTTTCCACTACAAAATCAAAATGTCTTGAGTTCAAAATGGTTTTAATACCTTGGTTGTATTATTGTACTTCTTTTTATAATATAGGTAGTGTATTTTCTTTTAGGCATGTTTTTGGTTTTCTCTAGTTGTAAGTAATGTTCTAGTCTTTATAATGTTTTTTTGATTGTATTGACAACCATATGATTTAATACTGGTCCTTGGTTACGAAATATGTGTAGATCATACTCTTGGAGTTGTACCAAGCATATATTCAGAATTGCAATTGTATTTAAAAATTGCAATGAAATCCATGGAAAAAGTCCAAGAGTTAACTTCTCAAAGAGAGCTAACAAATTTGCCAAAATTCAATAAAGAGGAATGTGAATATTTAGCTTGTAAACTCAAGCTCACCATTGAGAGTGCTAGTTCATTCTTTCATGCCACATGCCATCAAAAAGACATTCTTGAAGAAGCTTTAGCAAGTTATGTGGGTAATTTCAAGCTATTTGCTACAAAGGCAAAAGAAATTGAAAATTTCATCCAAGATTGTTGCAAAAATGCATGGATCGAAGTTGCCATCATATTGACAAAAATGAAAGAGCTTGTTTCATCAATAAGCTTTAATTTGGAACTATGTAGACTTTCATTTTATGACTTTGAATTTAGAGCACCACTAAGTAAAACTTGGATAGAACTTTCTGACAAAGTTGAAGAGATCAACAACATTGAAGCAAAGATTGTGCAAGAAAAAGCATTTCAAGATGAAGAGGCATTGCTAGAGAAAGTGGATTTGGAATTGAAATCATTGAATGGTAAGGAGAAAGAGTTAGCTTACATTTTGCTTGAAAGACTTAGAAGCACATCAATTGCATCTTCACGAAACCTATTGAAGGGAGAATTGGACAAAGTGAAGCAACACAATCAAATAGGAAAAAGTGCATCCGCAATTGTATTTAAAGTTAAATGGTTGGAGATGGAAGTTGCAAAGAAGGTGTTTTATGGATCAAGCATAAAACATTTTGAACAAGAAGTGTCAATTGTATCAAGGGTGTTTCATGCAAATATTATGTCCATACTTCATTATACATCAAGCAAGCATCAGTGCTCAATTTTCATGGAATTGATGGATGGAGATCTTACTTCTTTAATATGGCATAGATTGAAAATTCTTCATCTAGATGTACCATTTTCCAATATAGTAGCTATTGACATCATTCTTCAAATTGCAAAAGGTATGCATTATCTTCACTCACAAGATATTGTGCATAGGAACTTGGAACCAGACAATATTTTGGTGAAGATAACAAACATGGAAATTGGATATGTGCATGCTAAATTGGCAGTTTTTGGAATGTCCAAAACTAAGAAAAGTAGTTGTTCTACTCAAACACTTAATATAGGTACTACTCGATACATGGCTCCAGAAGTGATTAAAATCCATGAGCAAGGAAGTGAAAACCATGTTCTTACAAGTACATACAAACAAAAGTATCCATCAAAAAGTGATGTGTATAGTTTTGGTATGGTGTGTTATCAAATACTAACTGGAAAAGTCCCCTTTTCAAATCTAAGTAATATTGAGGCTAAGATAAAGATAAAGAGTGGTGAGTGTCCATCTTTACCTTCTCATTGTCCACCAATCTTGAAAAGTTTGATAGAAGATTGTTGGAAATTTAATCCCAAAGATCGTCCAACTTTTTTGGAGATTTGCAATGATTTAAGGTGTATAAAGTATTTATTGATGACATCATGTTCAAGCTTGATATTATTGCCAAATAAATCAATCAATTTTCCATCTTTTAGAACCTTAAGAATAAGTGAATCTTCTAGTTTGATATCATTGTTAAATAAATTGGATAATTATTCATCTTTGACTGCTTGTGAAGTAACAAAGTGCTCAAAGTTGACATCATTGCCAAATGAATTGGGCAACCGTACATCTTTGACTTCCTTAAATTTAAGTAGGTGCTCAAACTTGACATCATTGCCAAATGAATTGGGCAACCTCATATCTTTGATTTTTGTAAATTTAAGTGAGTGCTTGAACTTGACATCATTGCCAAATAAATTGGGTAACCTCACATCTTTGACTTCGTTAAATTTGAGTGGATGTTCAAACTTGACATCATTGCCAAATGGATTGGGCAATCTCACATCTTTGATTTTCTTAAATTTAAGTAGGTGCTCAAGATTGACATTATTGCCAAATGCATTGGGCAACCTCACATCTTTGACTTTGTTAAATTTAAGTGAGTGCTTTAGGTTGATATCATTGCCAAATCAATTGGGCAACCTCACATCTTTGACTACTTTAGATGTGGAAAACTGCCAAAGCTTGGCATCATTGCCAAATGAATTGGGCAACCTCACATCTTTGACTTTCTTAAATTTAAGTGGATGTTCAAGGTTGACATTATTGCCAAATGAATTAGGCAACCTCACATCTTTGACTTTGTTAAATTTGAGTGGGTGCTCAAACTTGACATCATTGCCAAATGAATTGGGCAACCTCACATCTTTGACTTCCATAAATTTAAGTGAGTGCTTGAACTTGATATCATTGCCAAATAAATTGGGCAACCTCACATCTTTGACTTTGTTAAATTTAAGTGAGTGCTCAAGGTTGACATCATTGCCAAATGAATTGGGCAATCTCACATCTTTGACTATTTTAGATGTGGATAAGTGCCAAAGCTTGGCATCAATACCATATGAATCGGGCAACCTCACATCTTTGACTACCTCGAATATGGACAGTTGTTCAAGCTTGAAATCATTGCTAAATGAATTGAGCTACCTCACACCTTTGACTATCTTGAATATTCGAGGGACGTCAAGCTTGACATCATTGCCAAATGAATTGGACAACCTCACATCTTTGACTACCTTAAATACAACTTATTACTCAAGCTTGACATCATTGCCAAATGAATTGGGCAACCTCACATCTTTAAGTACCTTCAATTTAGAAGGATGTTCAAGTTTGACATCATTGCCAAAAGAATTAGGCAAGCTCACATCTTTGATTAAATTGCATATAAGAAAGTGTTCAAGCTTGACATCATTGCCTAAAGAATTGGAAAAACTCTCATCTTTGATTGAATTGGATATTGGAGGATGTGAAAGCTTGACATCATTGCCAAAAGAATTAGGTAATATCACAACTTTGATTAGCCTTAATTTAGAAGGATGCTCAAGCTTGACATTATTACCAAAAGAATTGGGTAATCTCACATCTTTGACTTCCATAAATTTAAGTGAGTGCTTGAACTTGACATTATTGCCAAATGAATTGGGCAACCTCACATCTTCAATTTCATTAAATTTAAGTGAGTGCTCAAGGTTGACATCATTGCCAAATGAATTAGGCAACCTCACATCTTTGACTTGCTTAAATTTAAGTGGGTGCTCAAGGTTGACATTATTGCCAAATGAATTGGGTAACCTCACATCTTTGACTTCCTTAAATTTAAGTGGGTGCTTTAACTTGACATCATTGCCAAATGAATTAGGCAACTTTACATCTTTGACTTTGTTAAATTTAAGTGGGTGTTGGAAGTTGATATCATTGCCAAATGAATTAGGCAACCTCACATCTTTGACTTTGTTAAATTTAAGTGGATGCTCAAGGTTGACATCATTGCCAAATGAATTGGGCAACCTCAAATCTTTGACTTTGTTAAAATTAAGTAGGTGTTGGAAGTTGATATCATTGCCAAATAAATTGTGCAACCTCACATCTTTAATTTCGTTCAATTTAAGTGAATGCTCAAGGTTGACATCATTGCCAAATGAATTGAGCAACCTTACATCTTTGACTTCCTTAAATTTAAGTGGGCGCTTGAACTTGACATCATTGCCAAATGAATTGAGCAACCTCACATCTTTGACTTCCTTAAATTTAAGTGGATGCTTTAACTTGACATCATTGCCAAATGAATTGGGCAACTTCACATCTTTGACTTTGTTAAATTTAAGTGGGTGTTGGAAGTTGATATCATTACCAAATGAATTAGGCAACCTCACATCTTTGACTTTGTTGAATTTAAGTGGATGCTCAAGGTTGATATTATTGCCAAATGAATTGGGCAATCTCAAATCTTTGACTTTGTTAAAATTAAGTAGGTGTTGGAAGTTGATATCATTGCCAAATGAATTGGGTAACCTCACATCTTTAATTTTGTTAAATTTAAGTGAGTGCTCAAGATTGACATCATTGCCAAATGAATTGGGCAACCTCACATCTTTGACTTCCTTAAATTTGAGTGGGTGCTCAAACTTGACATCATTGCCAAATGAATTGGGCAACTTCACATCTTTGGCTATGTTAAATTTAAGGAGGTGTTGGAAGTTGATATCATTGCCAAATGAATTGGGCAACCTCACATCTTTAATTTCGTTAAATTTAAGTGAGTGCTCAAGGTTGACATCATTGCCAAATGAATTGGGCAACCTCATATCTTTGACTTTCTTAAATTTAAGTGGGTGCTCAAGGTTGACATTATTGCCAAATGAATTAGGCAACCTCACATCTTTAATTTCGTTAAATTTAAGTGAGTGCTCAAGGTTGACATCATTGCCAAATGAATTGGGCAACCTCACATCTTTGACTACCTTGAATATGGAGGGTTGTTCAAGCTTGAAATCATTGCTAAATGAATTGAGCCACCTCACACCTTTGACTATCTTGAATATTCGAGGGACGTCAAGCTTGACATCATTGCCAAATGAATTGGACAACCTCACATCTTTGACTACCTTAAATATAAGTTATTGTTCAAGCTTGACATCATTGCCAAATGAATTGGACAACCTCACATCTTTGACTATCTTAAATATAAGTTATTGCTCAAGCTTGACATCATTGCCAAATGAATTGGGCAACCTCACATCTTTAAGTACCTTCAATTTGGAAGGATGTTCAAGTTTGACATCATTGCCAAAAGAATTAGACAAGCTCACATCTTTGATTAAATTGCATATAAAAAAGTGTTCAAGCTTGACATCATTGCCTAAAGAATTGGGCAAACTCTCATCTTTGATTGAATTGGATATTGGAGGGTGTGAAAGCTTGACATCATTGCCAAAAGAATTAGGTAATATCACAACTTTGATTAGCCTTAATTTAGAAGGATGCTCAAGCTTGACATCATTACCAAAAGAATTGGGTAACCTTACATCTTTGACTAAATTAGATATAAGAAAGTGTTCAAGCTTGATATCATTGCCAAAAGAATTAGGTAACCTCACATCTTTAAGTACTTGCAATTTAGAAGGATGCTCAAGCTTGATATCATTGCCAAAAGAATTAGGCAATCTTACATCTTTGAATACCTTGAATTTGGAAGGATGTTCAAGCTTGACATCATTGCCAAATGAATTGTTCAATTTCACATCTTTGACTATCTTAAGAATAAATGATTGCTCAAACTTGACATCATTGCCAAATAAATTGGACGACCTCACATCTTTGACTACCTTTAGTATGTGTGCAAGTTCAAATATAGACAAGTTGGAGGGAGCATTTGATGTATATACGCAATCTAGTAGAATTGATACAAAATCCTCTCAATCTGTTTGGACAACTAAGAAATTTGCTGTAGCAAGGGATTACCCAAATGCACACAATGATTTTGTTTCAAACTGTAAGGAAGCAATTTCATTACAATTGCAGTCGATGGACTTACCCAGCAAGCGTCCATTAGGCCAAGGCTTAGCTGGCTACGGATATGAAACAACATGGGAAGGAAAGAGGTATGCAAGAAAAGATTTCGTTGGAGTACCGAGGATTATCTTTGAGAGAGAGGCAGTTGCCTTGGTAGCTCTTGAAGATCACAAGAATATTGTGAAAACATATGGCTGGACTACTGGCAAGAGGAGTTGCTCCCTTGTCTTAGAGTACATGGATGATGATCTTTTTAGCTTATTGCACTACAGAATTTCGACTAAACATGATCTAGTTGGTTCAAACGGCGACACGCAATCTTGTAAGTTGACTACCCCGGAGCCTTTTGACCTACCGCAGGCAATTTACATCATGTTACAAATCGCCACAGGCATGAAGACCCTGCACGAGCAAGGAATTGAACACGGGGATCTAAAAACAAAGAACATTCTTGTCTCTTATAAGAACCAAAGAGATCCGAATTTCATGACAGTGAAAGTAGCCGATTTTGGTCTTGTTTGCTCCAAAAGAAAAAGCGAACTGATTGTTTCACGTCAGGCACATAAGCTGGATATGGTCAAGTGGAAAGCACCAGAGTATTTGAAGGTACAATTCAAAAACTTCACTTCATCTTGCAATCAAGATGGAGCTTGTTCAGAGTCTGATTCCAGTTCGGAATCCGAGTCAGAAATGGAAGGAACCTCAAATTCTCCAGTCATCAATGTAAGGCTCCCTGGAGTTGATGTCTTTGCAGCCGATGTTTACAGCTTCGCTCTGATATGCTCTCATATCTTGACTGGGAATGATCCATATCCATATCTCAACTGGAAGGAATTGGGGGTTGAAATCTTGTCTGGCCTGCGACCGAACTTGCCCACTACATGCAAACCCTGGTTAAGAGTACTTTTGCAAGCATGTTGGGCTGAACCTGCTCGACGACCTTCCTTCTCCGAAATCCATACGATGTTGGAACATTTTCATGGCATGTTACTCTGAACAGGTAGTGGATTCCAGTTTTTCTACTCATTCAAAGTTGTTGATCATTGTAACTTTGATGACTTAGACAGCTTTGAGAATATTGTCAAAATAGTCAGTGCAACTCTTGTTTAGCTTCATTGTTCGTATTTAGTTTCTTTTTGCTTGTATTCATGTTTGATGATAAATTGGGAACATGGTGTTCGCTACTTCCAAAATGCTCGAGTAGAAAAACTCTGAAGGCGATTTTGTCGGAATGAATGAGATCCTTCTGTGAAGATTGGAGATATGATTGGGTCTGTAACAAAGTCGGGTCTTGCGCAATTACTTCAATTACATGTCATCCACATAAAATGGTGCATGGAAGTGAAGAAGTATTCAGTCCCTTGGAGCAAATGTGTGGTGTCTGCAATACTTTAAATTGTACTTCAAGTTGGAATAAATGTATCTCTCATGTATTCTCGTTGCATCGCGAGTCCACGGCCGTGTGGGAATCAAAACGCATATCATCATGCCCGATATACTGTCCCTAACGGGCCCTAAGCTCTCACAGCTTCACCACGAGTTCTATTTGATACAATTTACAAACTGCTGACTCTGCAACAACCCGGAGCAACACACAATCAGGCCCACATTTATCAGTCAACGACTTCGATTGACTCATTGCCTTCGCACTTTTAAGGTATTCGAATCCAACAATCACAGAAAAACACGAACAACGAATCCAAGCGGTTAAAACCACACTCAAACCCCAACAACACCCTCAAAAACTCACCATTGGCTTCAAGAGCGTAGAATCTCCGCCTAGAATGGCAAACTTCTACGATGCTCTCTCGAATTCAGCCAAAATTCTCTGCCCTCGCGAGCCTTGGAAAAGGATTAATCTGCAGAATGGAGCAGTAAGAGCAGTTCGAATTGCGGTCGCGGCATCGATCGAGATCCAGATCGATAGAGACGCAGATTGGCCGAAAGATTGGCATCGAGAGTTGTCCACAGAAGCTCCAGTCTCGAGTATCCGAAAGAGTTCGACGATTGTGGATGTTCACACTTTTGGAAGCTCATTCATCCATTTCTATGTAGTATTCATACCTATATATATATATATATATATATGTTTATTTATTGATTTGTGAAGATCATTTTTATTTTTTTAGTGTTTGTTAATTTAGAATGTGGCAGTGACAAGCTCATTTTGTGTTGTGAGGTTCTGAGATGAATGCTCAAATTATTAATACAATTTTATTTGTTCAATTTCAAATTACTTTTGTATTCTACAGTTTGGTTTTGAATTATAATGAAATAAAGTATTGAAAAATAACTCTACTGAGACGTATGCAAAAATGGCAGTGGAGTGTTCAGAAGAATTGAAGTGATACAATGATAATGAATTTTAATATACATTTTACAATTGATGTGAATGTAGATGATTTGGTACTAGTATGGGTAACTCTGTTTATTGTTTTCTGAACAAATGGAAAAACCATTTGTGGGCTATATAGTTAAACTGTTATACCAACAAGCATGCCCAATATTCTTTTTTACTTGCTGACTATGATATCTTAGATTGCTTTAGATGTGTTATTGACTGAAGGTCCTTTAAGCTTCCACAATTTTTCAAAGATTCAAAATTAATTTGTTTCTCAAACTTCTCATTAAGTCTCTTACAAATTATTATTGCCAAACAACAGCAATAGAAGAGTTTTAGGACAAGATTGATCAACAATCAAAATCAATTGAATCCTTGTATTAATAAGCTAAGTTTTTGAAAATTGTGTATACAACATTAATTATTTACAAGATAGAATTAAACACTAAAGGTTGAACTAATTATTAAACCAAAGCCACCTAAATAAGATGGTTAATAAAAAGAAGCAAAAGCTTTCTTATTTAAGGCTTAAGAAATTATTAGATGAAAAAATTATTAAATTTAAATTCTCTAGCAATGTATGTTCAAAATCAAAGTCTTTTGCATGTGATTATTATTTGAGCCAAAAAATCAAATTAACAATTGGCTATTGTCAAAGATATGAATTTAGATATTCTTAAAAAATACAATATATTAATGTATTATTTAGTAGAGACATAATAAATAAATCAATGAATAGAAAATAAATATAGGTTCAAAAAAAATTTAAAAGTCATTTATATAATATAGATGATTGTAATAATTGAAGTAAAATACCTACATTTCTTAGTTTTCATAACATTTAGAAAAGTTCTTCTATTAGCTTTAAACTAGAATTGATAGAATCAAATAGAATCTTTTAAAGAAAAGTTCATTTCTTAAAAAATATGAATATTTATAAATAAAATAAAAGAATTTAATACCTCTTTATTAATTTTATGAACAAATTAGGAAATTAAATCTTATAAAATTTTATTAAATCAATAATTACTACTTTTGATGCTATATATGCAACTAACAAGAATCAAATATAATTTCTTTAAAAAAATAAGCTTATATTATATTATATAAAATTTCAATTAATAATAGATTTTGTGGAATTAATTATTTTACTTATATATTTTATTTTTTATATTATCCAACTAGTTTATGATACAAAGATCTTGTACATGTATATTGGAGCTTTAAATAATTAGCATATAAAATAATATATTTTAAAATACTTATACTATTAAATATTTTTAAATTAATTAAATAAATAGAAGTAAATAAAAAAAACTTTAGTATAATATGTTTGCTTCAAGTAGATAATTTAATATAATTCATCCTTTTAAAGTTTTTTTGAATTTTTTTTTTTCCAGATATGGATATCTATAAAAAAAAATTATATACTACACAACTATTAAAACATCTTTTTAGAAATTTCTTACTTTTAAGAAGCATTTTAAAATGCAAATGCTTGGTCTATAAGTTTTGTGATTTTTCTTTGTCTCATATAAAGTTTTTTAGTTAGTATAAATAGATAAAATTTTGAATCTGTATTTTTTATTATTTCTAAACTTGTTTTAAAATTTTCTAGTTTTTTGTATTTGACATCTAATTATTTTATATCCTTTTTAGCTCATATATGTATACTTTTATAAATTTTATTTTTGCTTTAATTATAAAAAAATATAAAATTTTAGAATTTTTATTTATATTTATATCTTTTAAATTAAAAAATGACATTATAAATTGATAGTATAATATTAAGAGATGCAAATCAGGAAAGAAAAATTTTAAATAATACTACACCTATGAATCCAACTTAAGTAAATCCATGAGGATATTGAAAAGGATGTAATCTTAAATAGAGCTTAATTTGTTGTATAAATCCTTAAAATTTTGATTTTGCTCTATTAAACTTCTTTGGCATATTGATTTTTACCTCCTTTATACTTGTACTAACAAAACTTCTAGGATTTAATTATGAAGTTCATTTACTTATTTTTCTTAATTAGATAACTTTTTAGCATAGACATTGGACCTCATTATCTACAACTTCTATTGGATATAGATATAATACTTTCAAGGTTGATATTGGTAATATGTGAAATTTCTTCACAAAGAATATTGACAAACTTAAGAAGATCTATAATAGTTGTAAATTGATTCTTATTTCTACTAAGTGTAGTATCTATTATTTCTTTTTTATATTTTCATAACAATTTTTTTTAACAAATCTATAAGTCAATTTTAGAAAATGTTTTAACAAATCTACAACCTCATGACTTTTACTATGGCAAAACAACTAATACCAATAGAGATTGATGCCCTACAAAGATTATTGACACCACAAGAGGACAAATAATGGTACAAAAAGAATTGTATTTTTATTGTCGGGATCCAGGCCATCAGATTGGACGTTGTTCAAAAAAACAAAATTCAAGCACCAACAAAACAAGGGAAGTTCATAGTTTTGAAATTCACTAACTTGATAATGAGTAAGAATAAGAAAATGAGGCTCCTTAATAAAGGCACCAAGGGCCAATACTAGGGATAACTATTGTCTCTTAGAGATAAATGGCATGGCCTCAGACAACTATAAAAAGAATCAATTGGTTCATCTAATGGGACTACTAAGAGGACAACCATGTTGAATACTTGTAGATTGTGGCTCTATAGAAAATTACATCTCAACTAAAATTACCAATCAACTTAGAATTAAAATTAAATAAATCAAAGAAGAAAATATATACCTTACAGATGAATAAGAGAACGTATTGAGGGAGATGTGTGAAGAAAAAACCTTGAGATTAAAAGAGGCCTATGACTTAAAAGAGAGATTCAAGGTGACAAAGCTAAAATATGATATTATCCTTGATATACCATAGCTAGAGATGGAAAATAAGCAAGTTGATTAGATAGCAAGGACAATCTTTTTTAAAGATGGATGATGCAAGGTGATTCTTTGCACCTCCATATTAAGCGAAGAAGAAAGACAATCTACAACCAAAGACTTACTTATAGAGGCGACCTTTATAAAGAAGCAAATGCAATATGAATAATTAATATATATGGTAGTTCCAAATCATGCGTTAGTGGTAGAAAAGATAGCCAAAGAGATAGAATGGGCATAGCAACTCATATAGGAATATTAGAATGTCTTTCTAACCGACCTATCTAGTGGTGGACTTCTTAAACAAGGTGCTTCCTTTCAAATATAACTATTACTTAGAGCCAAAGTAGCAAGTCATCCAATTTATTGCCTAACACCAAAAGAACTTGAAGAATTGAAGAAGATATTAGACAAACTCTTGAAAAAAATCTTCATTTAAGAAAGCACATCACCATGGAGAACACATTTATTCTTTGTACCTTAGAAAGATGGTAGACTTTGGCTTTGCATCAACTATCAATGCTTTAATAAGCAGACTGTTAAAAATATATATCTACTTTTATGCATGGATGATCTCCTTGATCAACTTTGAGGTGCAACCACCTTTAATAAATTGGATCTTTGAAGTGAATATTGGCAAATACCTATTGCAAGTGAAGATGTAAAAAAGATGGCATTTTGTATGTACTATGGACATTTTGAATGATTGATTTTATCGTTTGGCCTCACCAATGCTCCAACCTCTTTTATGGATTAGATGAACAGATTGTTTTAAGACCTTTTGGACAAGTATATAGTCGTCTCCATTGATAATATCTTTGAATATAGTAAAATCCTTGAAGATTATAAACAACACCTACAAGAAGTATTATGTCGGCTACAAGATAGTCGCATTTATTATAAGCAATCAAAATGTGAACTTTGAAAGTTAAAAG